ATCGTATTCAGATATTAATATTTCTTTGATGAATTCTTTAAAGATGTGTCGCGAGAGATTAAAAGCTTATATAATAAGTTTTTTAATTAAAATAAATATTTTATTAATGAATTTAAATTGCTTTTATCAATCACATCAAGTTATTGAAAAATGCTGATTAAACAACATGTATTACATTAAGAGAATCTAAATAGGCACTGAGCGATTACTAAATGTTCGCATGAATATTCCGTTTGTTCGTTTGTAAATGAATTTTTTTGCGTATTAACCTTCATCATCTTCCGAGATGCATGCAATTATGATGCTGCAGCGCATAATTGGTATCGTTCTTTTAAAAAAAAGAAAAAAGGATGAAGGTAAAAAAATAGAAATGTAGGCAAAAATAACTTGGGAAAAACGGTGGAACGGAAGACGTCACGTTGAATAAACAAGAAGAGAAAAAAAGAAGTGTCAATACCGGTATAAAGTTTAATTTAACTTTACTGCATACGAAAGTATTATCATTTTCTCGCTTCTCATGAATAATTCAATAAATCTTTAACTCCGAAAATTGCTATACAACTTCTCCCCGTGTCATTTTATATCACATAATGAGTTTCATACATGAGCACATGTTTTCAAAATTTTTTAATTAAAAAGGTAATAATATATTTGGAAAACTGTTTATAATACCGAATACGATTAACAGTAAAATGGTTATGCATGAAATATTTTATCTTGCAGGGATGTTAAAAAAAACTAGAAGTCAAATAATTATGCTTAAAATACTCTAAGTGCACGTTTGATACTAATGGCTGTGCTTCAAAATTTGACTTGCACTTCTGAAGTAAAGGGTTCTTATCAATACTGTTGAAATGGCGCATCACGATATTTCATTTGCAATATTATCGTTTGTACAGCATGCGGTGCGTTGATGCAAACGTTTGAATTGCTCTTACTAACAATCTCAAAACTTCTTTTAACTTACTCTCAACTATTTCAAATTTAAATAAATCCGCATTACTCGATTGAACGGAGTACATAAATATCTTTCCAATTCTACAGTCCTTATTTTCGAAATAAATAATATATAAATACGTTTGTGCGTATCGTGCGACTCAAGCTTTTATTTCATCCGCTACAATTAGTTTTTTCACCACGAAATTATTTTTCTTAAACCGCGCATTACGCCTTAATATTGAAAAAATATAATATAAATAATATTAAAATTATTTTATTTTATTTGCATTACAAATCATCATATCTTTGTATATAATTTAAATTTCATATATTTATGATTATTTAGATCATACAATTTTTTTATCAAAGCATATTTTCTTTGAAAACGTATTTCTCTCTTTCTCGTAATTTTATTATTCAAATTAATGATTTATTCTTTATTGAACTATCTATTTATTTTATAGTTGGTTAAAACGAACATGGATTTGGAGAACATTGAAAGACGACATATTAGAGCTGTGCGAGCTTGTGACAATGTGGTCCTGGTACAATTACGTACCGGTACAATTTATCGCAATCCTGCTGGGACTGGGATGGTTAATCCACCGCGTGCGGCAGTAACTCTTAGGGATTTGATGATTAACCAGTGCGAACATTTCCCAGCCGGACAGTCCAGATTTTCAGTGTATTATCGAAAACTAATCAAACACCACGAGTCAATTTGATCGACCGTCCGAGCGTTAAATCGAAGTTAATATCACCGATCTACTATTCATTTCAATATTTCTGTTTAAATATGCGCAGTCAAGAATTTTACTGTAATCCATATTCCATTAATCTCACACGCAATAGAGGAGTTCTGAAATATTTCACTCAATTCAGAAGAGAGCAATATACATAGAATTATGTTTTCAATATCAATTTCAGCCCAATAAACTTAGCTATTTGAATAATTTTACTAATTTTTTATTTTAACTTGTTATTAACTTAAAGCAGAACCACGTAAATTATCTCCTTCAATGCTGAATTTTCTCTTCATAATCGAAAAAAATGCTTGATGCGTCAAAAGAGCATTCCTTATAAATAATATGCTTGCTAGAATTTTTGGAAATCCCCTGTGAGTTTAAGATAATTCAATAAAAGCTTCTTTGACAGACACCACAGCATACGAATAGAAATCGAGTTATTTACGAAATATGAACGGAGGGAGAAATACGAGTTGTCTTATAGTTGTCACGTATACGTCGCTTTATCCCTTTATCCTAGCAGGTTCAGAAAACGTATTTAGGTACTTGGGCTGTCCGTGGGGGCGAGTGTCGGACGCGGACTTTCTCAGACCAGCCACCACCAACTATCACCATCACCAACCACATCCACACATCCACAACCGCACATAAAAAACAAATATAAACAGCCCTATCCCTGATCGTTTCACCAGCACGGTGAGTCTTACTTCTTCTTCGTTCTATATGATATCCTATTTTAATCCTCCGTCGCACGATTTATTACTCTCGAAAGTACCTGAACGCCTGGGCGATCGAAATTTCTCTAATTAAAGCCTTAACTTCGTGTTCGTGGCTTGCCCAGGATGTCCCGAACAAGTTTTTGCAGATCTTTTTTCACGTATTAATTTTCTTAACGGGAATTTAATACGAAGCGTGAGTTGTTAATGTCGTCAAACTTGAATTAAAAGTAATAATAATAAATCTTCAACACCTTTCGTATCGAGAAGTTTCGCGGAAAATTTAGTTTAAGAACTTATCATCAATTCAATTAAGATCAATATTCATTCAATAAATTACATTGTTCTTTAGATTTTCAATTGTTTTCTGTAGAAATTGCATTTGCAGTAATGAACGCTACTCTTTGTATTTTACGTATATTTTACGTTATGGGAATGATAAACCATTTATAAATATCGTGATAAAATCACTCTTACCTTCTTTATAATATCAAGTTTGATTGTTCAAGTCTTGACTATATTGTCATTGTCGAACAAGTTATTACGGAAACCGCCAGTAGTTCGGAATCCGCCGCAAGGCTTTCGAGAAATAGATATATTCCCTCAGGTTTCACGTACTTTGAGAGATAGATTCTATTTTCTTATTTCGCTACTAACTGCATTCTCCGCTTTATCTTTGCACGCTTCTCCTTTGCTTATATTGCGCGTATTAAGAGATCCTCACACTCTCATTATTCTACCGATTGTTGCTATTGTAAATAGTGTGACGCCGGTACAGCCGCTAAATAACAGACGACTATGATAATAAGTTTATCAGCGTTACATCGTGAACGTATTGTTCAAGTTGATAATTATATTATTAATTGTGTGAGGATGCTTTTATACATGCTTTACTTTGGTCTTATAAATGTTAAGTGTGGCAGTGGAATGAATATGATTGAATAATCGGTGATGTTATACTTCCACTCGATTTTCAATACTTTCGTGTTAGCACCTTTGAAATATTTTTAATGTCACTATTTTATTTCTTAAAATAATAATAAAAAACTAATATTTAAATTAATGATATATTGTGCATTTCAAAAGAAAGCAATATCACAAAGAATATAAGCATTACTTTTGATAATATGTATAATTTATAATTAATATATAAGCGGAAATATTCGCAGAAAAATATTTAAACATATGATATTCTTTTTTTTATTTGATTTATTTTTTGTATGTTATAACAACACTTTTTACACAAGAAAAACGACAGCGATATGTTAAAAAACCGAAGTAAAAATAAATTTTACAAATTAATATAAATTCGTGATGTGTAAATAAACTTTTAATTTTTTGTATTTTATCTGTAAAAAATATATTTTAGTTATTCTATTATAAATATCACAAAATGTCATTTCACAAACAACACTTTGCATATATTTCATGAACAAGCATTGAAATGACGATGTAATTTATGTCTGAATAGGAATTGTTATTGTTGATAAATTCCATAGACTTATTATATCGTTACGTTAAATAAAAGCTGCACCACTCATGCAAACACGATAAAATAGCGTTTATGCGTCTATGCGTATTTGTTTGATGTATGGCGCTCGAATAAGCGATAAATGTTATTTATTTATGTATGATTTGTAAATGGAGTATAGCATGGCACATGCTTTTGCATGCTTCGCAAGTTTTGAAAGTTACAATGTTATGTAGCTTTACTAAATTACTATTTTGCATTTTATTCATTTGAAAATTAACTTATTTTCTTACATTTGATTTAATATGTAGAACAATATAATAAAACTAATGTAATTTTTGTAATATTTTATGTTTTTTTACAAAAATATTTTAGGTCTCGGCGAATCAACATTGCAAATAAATAAATTGTATATTTTGCTTGATAATATTGTGGAAAAAAAATATTTGAAAATTATAATCGATAAATTCTTCATGTAACTAAGATTTACTTTTTATATGTATATAACAAACTTTAAAATCAATTTATAATTAATTTTTGTAATGCATACTGCAGTCATAATTTTCACATTTGTGCAATTAAAATAGTATTAAATTTATATTCTAATAATATTCAAAATTGAGTCACATCATAAATATATTAATAAATTTTTTAGAATTTTGTTCAACCGACATTCGCCAAAGCCTAATTTCACATTAGCTAAAAATCCAAAATTGCAACATTGCTTATTCTCTTTTACAGTATATTTCATTACATTTAATATATTTTATTATATATTTTGTTAGACACCTATTTATTTATAATATAAAAACTCACACACACACACACACACACACACACACACACACACACACACACACACACACACACACACACACACACACTGATGATATATACTATAAAATTTACATAAACGTTGTGTGATTGATTGCATATATATATAACGATATTATACGTATATATGTATAAAACGTATAATATTGTATAATATACATATATGCATACGACATTAATACATTCGAGCGCAAAGTAAGCGAGCGCTAACAGCACAATACGTCACACTGCGATAACAGAGCAACAACGACAACGATACAAACTCACACGACAATTATCGACGACTAGACAAAAATGAAGAGCGTCAATGGTATATCTAATTTTTCAGTGTGCCAGCCGGGTTGGTACCGCAGCAACAGCAGCTGCTTACAATGTGCGTCCGGAACTTACGCAGTTCGGAACGACAATGGATCCGGTGTGCTCTGCATCGCATGTCATTACTCCTGCCTATCTTGCAAAGGGCCGAGCGACGCGGATTGCGTCACCTGTCACGTGGATTCGGTATTCACGTGGAACGACGGTAGGCCGCTGTGCGTGCTGAGCAGCCTGTCCTGGAAGATGCACTCCACAGTGTGGTTCTACAGGATGACCATGATTTTCTTTGTCAATTTAAGCTTAATGACTATCATCGCTATATATCTCGTGTCCTCGTGGTACATCCGCAAACACAAATCCGCCCACAAGTACAGTAAAGTGTCCTACGGTAACGACGAGGTTCACGCAGAGCAATTGCAGGGAAGCACATGTGTCTCCGATAGCGAGTGAGCCTATCAATTGGTAGAAAAAATAATCTAGAAAGAAAATTACATTTAAATTTGAAGAACATTCTAGCAGTATATATTCCGTGAATTTTTTGAAAATATTCCATTATTTATTATGCAAATATTCCATACTTATAAAAATATTTCATTATTTTAATACAAACATTTGAAAACATGTTTTAGCAGTATTTTAAGAATATCGTGAAAATTGCGAAACATTTTTTTCCGCGAACGGAAGTATTTTGAGATTATTCTCGAAATCCTTGACGAAGAATGTTTCAAAAATATTCCAAGCATTGGTGAAGCGTGTAATAATTTCATAAGATTGGTTTCGTGGAACATGTAAAACGTAACAAGCATTATTGATATGATAAATAAAATCGATTTATATAATGCATGACAAATCGATCGAAAATCAAAATGCAGACGAGAGAAATATTTAATTGATTTTTGTGTGAGTAAATTAGAAGTCTTTTTGTTTTTATATTTTTGTTCTATAGCTTCACTACGAATTTAGAACCTATTGTTCCCATTGTCAAGTTTAGGAGCCGTACTGCGCTTTTGCAGGTGTAGAAATGTTCCTTTATAACAACGGTTTGTGAAACGTCTGGAATGTAAAGCATTAATGGTGCTGATAGTTTCCTTTGAGATAAAGCAATCGCTTCGTAGCGACTCCAGTATTGTAGCAATGGCTCGTAACGACGCACCATTTATCGATCGCTAGTGAACTAACGTGGAGTAATATCCCCTGAAGCCAATGAGTATTTTACGCAATTCAGTGGATCTTAAATATTTGTGCAGGCATCTGGACATTCGTTATGAGATTAAAATGAAAGCAAGCATCGAGTCGCGATTTGACAGACATTTAATCGCGAATATTGTAGGTAATTCAAAGGTGTTAAAAAACTAACTTATGAAAAAGACAGAGAAATAGTTTGTGTGTCAACAATAAATGAGAAAGGGACACACAGCATTTCTGAATATTCATAATATTTTAATAGAAGCAGAATAATAGTATTTATTAAAGTTTCCATGGCGTAATACGTTTGCACAACGTGCATTATGCGCCTATCAACGAGATTTATTATAATTAAAAGCCCAAAATAACGTAATAATTTGTTATTTAAATCAAACTAGTAGTAAAGCGTACTTTTGTAAGAGCAGTTTACCTCAGTAATGTGATACATGTTAGTGCGAATTATAGAGCATAACTCTCATTGCTCACTGCAATTATTCATAATTGTTACCAATAATCATTAAATCGCGATGTATATTGTTCTTGTTAACGTTGTAAACTTAATAAAATAATGACAGATAATCACGAAGATATCAATATTTTTTTATCCCTCGTACGATTATTAAAATTTTTGTAAAAAAGTATCAAATTATTTTGCTAATGTAAAATTAAATATTTATTCACTTTATTTTTAGTTATATTCAGATTTTTATATTTAAAAAGCTGTAATTTTTTTCAATTGTCACAATTATATAATATAACAATTTTTTTTATAAATATAATACTTATTTATATTTATTACATATTTAATATGCATTAATATTCATTATGAATAATGCACATAAAATGAGTTAATGGTGCCGTTTTTTTTAATTTTAATTTACAGCTCAACATTGAAAAATCAGTGCGCATCCAAGAGGCCAGTATTTAATGTCAAGATATATAATGTCAAGATATATTAGTGAGACGAACTCTAACAAACGCAGTTGCGATGTGGACAAGAGAATGTAGACATATAGTCACTGTATGTATATATATAAACAAATTATGATGTTCCTTAAAATTACAGACTTTTAATACTCTGCAGTTTGATAAAAAATTTTTCCCGAAAAATTTATGACAAAGTGCCGGAAACTATTTATCTATAAAACGCGTTTTTTTAACTTTTTTATGATTTTTTTTTTACTGAGTCACACGACTTTAAAAATTTTTGTTAGTTTCATATATATATGCATATATATGTATGTATATATATAAAATTGTCACATTTATGTATTACACGCATCGTGAAACATAGAGGCAGAATGATTGTTGCGGCCTGAGTAGCGACAATGATTAATTTGCAGTAAAAATCGCCGATAACGAGCGAGTTCTCGTCGCAATCAACGATTGACTGCTTATCCCAATCAGTGAATTCAACTGGCACAATTGATAGAAGGGCTTCCTGTGTTACACAGATGAAACAGCTTGTTAATTGTTGCCAATTAATGTACCCACTACGGGTTTGTATCCTTCCTGTTGGACTGTGAAATGGCGGTTCGTTGCTGGGGTAAGTATATATGTATATGCACGGAAGAGGAAATATTACGTTGATGTGGACCAAAATTGAGATAAAGCGAGAATAAAATCAGAAGGGAACGGTAAATAATCCTTATTTGTTTCCGTTTGTTTGTATGGAATATATTCGGTGCATTCGTTCTTGTGCAAAGATTGTAATATAGTGCAATCGAAATTTGTGTAACTTCGTATTTTACGCGCGTAAAACGCAGAGAGAGAGAGAGAGAGAGAGAGAGAGAGAGAGAGAGATGCACCAAATATTGAATCATATACATTTGTAAATATTTCATAAAGATGAGATAAAAGCTCTGCAATGATGAATTTTTTCGACAAGATATTTCCCCGTATTTATTGCTTGCAAAAGCCTTGATTAATATTCAATGACGCAACAATTATTACGTTTTGTAACTAAATTTGTTATTATACATATCAAATATACGTGTTTTAATGCAGAATATACAAATTAATGTTATGGATAAAGAATATACATTAAATTGCATAGTGCGCCGTGCCTGTTTTATAATGCGCTTAGTTACGGATTGAAATTGCACGATAAAGTACGATGCGCGTACATGTTCGAAAAAAGCAGTTCACAGCTTTTGCATTTTTCAAAAATCTTTATACTAATATTCAAATTACAATTCTGTGAAAGTGAAATTTAATTAAAAGTTTGTAGTTAAATGTTCTTTCAACCTTTTCTTTAAACTTATAATTTAATGACCAGCTCCTTACATTCGGTCTAATTAGTTACAAAGTATTATGTGATTGAAAAAATCAATTTTAAATTAGCCGAGCAATCTATCATTGAACTTTAAGAATCATTCTTATTACAAGAAGGTAGAGTGAAAGAATGTTGCGTGCAAAATATTCAAAACTGCTATTTACATAGTGCGGCTCTTTCATGTTTTTGGGCAGCTTAAATCGCGCGGAATTCACTGGTAATTATTCGCATACATTATTAATTTATCGTCAATTGTACGATAATTGAAACTTATTGCACATGACCTTTGCAAAAAGCGACACTGTTATTTTGTGTTTTGTGGTCCTCCATCAAGGGACTTATCACAATTCATGCATCATAATTTCGCTTGTACTCAAACGACGCATTTACACCGACATTGTATCCGCTGTTCTCGCGGCTAATAAAATTATTCGCTACGCTACCTTTTCACCATAAAGCAAGATATGCAAAGAGCAAACTGTTGTTTCTAGACAAACAAGCATGCTATACGCAAGAGTAAAACAGCTTGATTTATATGACGTCAAAATGCACGTGTATCTTCGATGCATGAATATTCTGCATTCACTATATCTTTCCTCGATTCTTCTTGTATCACAATGCTTCTCTCAACTAAAAAGAAACACAGAATCGTGGCTATTGAGGCAAAATCTACATTGTAAAAAAATTAATGTAAAGTTACAACCATAATAGTAATTTTATGATTCACTTTTGCAGATGTAAATTTCTATAGATATGCAAATTTAAAACTTGCAGGTGAAATCAATTTCTAGCGTTCTAAATAGATTGCGCTAGAAATTAATTCATTAAAAAATTTACCGGCTATAAATTTATACATGTGTAAAAATTTACATCTACTAGAACAATACAGACGCGCACTACGCGCGCGCTATTTAGCTTCATATATATGAAGAAAGTACATTGTAATGAAACCGACATAAAGACACACAATAAATTATTGCAATTAATTATTATTTATTGCGTGTCTTTGTGTTGGTTTCATTACAATGTTAAATTTTTGTACACAGAAGATGGCTAGAAATGTAGTGCCAAAACGTATGTAGATTTTAATTGAATATATAAATTTATTAAGTTATTAGATCTTGCTTTGGTTGTTTATAAAGTTTATGTAAATTATTGAGATGGCACGTGCCAGAAACATCGCAACACGATGATAGAATACAATCCAATAATCTGTATTTTGTTTAGCTTCGTTATGTATTACATACTACACATCAAAATGCTATGTTAAATAAAAATATGTAAACTTTATCGAAATTATTTGTATTACACATTTTCTGACGTAATATTTAATAATTATAATAATAATATTATAATAATAATAATTATAATAATAATATTATAATATTTAATAATCCAATAATTAATAAGCCTATTCCTCTATAATCACCTGATAAGAATCACTCGATTAAATAAAAATTAAGTTGTTATAGTGTAGCCCCATCGGAACCCGAGTAAAAATATTAATAAGGCCCCGATAAGAAACTGATCAAGTAAGACTTCACTTAGTAATCGGGTCCTGATGAGTACACCCAATCGGGATCCGAGTAAAGATATTAATAAGGCTTCGATAAGGAACTGATCAGGCAAGAGTGATCGGGTCCTGATGATTACATCCGATCGGGACAATACACGCGCGTGCTACGCGCGCGCATTTATTATAGTAATTTAATAATTTTGAAATCTAAATATTTTAATACAATTTTTTTATTTTAAATAACCGTCAAAATAAACTTTGCTCTCAAAGTATCAAACTGTCAGAATAATCGCGATAACCAATCAGCGTCGCGGAAAAGCGTCAACAATACTTTCGACACATTCGAGTATCGATCTTTCATGCCTTTTTTAAGAGTGGATAATCATTGTAATTTTACATCAATTTTTTTACAATAGAAAGATCGACAGTGATTTTTATTTAGTCGGTATTACTTGAGACGTTGCAATGCGATGG